ACAGGTCTTAATGATGTGTAGGAAAATAATTACTATTCGCTCAGGGAATTATACGAAATTCATAAATTCAGTGTTTGGAAAAATGTAGAATTTGTGAAGATTTAGTCATGTGGTACATATAGTTACCACTGACCTTTTAAGGATTGAAATTAGAAGATTATTTGGAGTGAATAGTGGCAACTAATTTTACAACTGAACGTCATCCATCACCTGTCTGACAGTTCAGTAGCCGTACGTTCCCTGAAAGTACACAAACAAGAAATGCATTAGGGTCGATTCGTACATCATCCCTGGTACCTACACTGATGCGTGCCAGTAAAATTGGGAGTTGATACTGTTGTGCCATTGCAGTAGTAATAGAAGCATTTCTTCTTGAATCAAACTCATTAATTGCCTGCACTAACCCACATCGCTCTTATGTTAGCTTTTCGGCTGTTCTGTGATGGGAACAACAGTTAACAACGAGAGAGGTCTGCCTGTTACAAACCAGTCAGGGCAGTTGGAAGTGACTGGTTAGCTGGTTAATCCTCTGTGAGTCTTTTTCTGTTCTTGTTTTTGTTTGTTGTGTTTTGTTTTGTTTTTTGCCTACGTTATCTTTTTTGTGATAGCAATTGAGAATAGTCCTGTCACTGCCCTGTCCAGTAAATTTAGTCAGCATTGGTAAACAGCTTGATATATCGAGTTATATGTATTTTATTTATTTATTTCATTGTAATTTTTATTTTCTAATTTTAGTAATTTGATACTATGTTGTTTCGAAAATTACTTTATCAAATGGGTTTAAAAATTCATAATATAGTACTCTCATTACAAGGTTTATTCTTCCTGCTCACGTTGGAACTAGGGGATTCTACGTGTAATTTCATATGCATAAATAAATAATACAGTTATTTATAACCAATAGGTTATTTGCCATGTTGAACATAGTAAAAACGCATAACTAACAAGTATGAAAAGCTTAATTTAGTTTTCCATGGGTATTTCTCTCGATAATGTCCCATAATCACAATAATGGTACATCAGTTTTGTATTCAAATACATTTTTATTTTGTTATTTATTGGCTACATTTTAAACAACATAATTTTACCATTTTAACACTTACAAAATGATCTCGTAATAGCGGTAATATGAAGTGATTTTATCACCAGTGGAGACAGGCTGACAAAAAGTTTAAAATACTTTATAGACAATTTTATTTTAAATTGTAACTACGAGTAATAAAATCATGAAAATTACCTGTTGAGAGTCTCTGTAAATATTAATAATATTGTAATAATGTAGGTTCATTAGAACACAAATTTAATTCTGTTTCTTCTGTAAGATGATTTTCTTCTCACCAAAATGTAAAGTGAGTTTGAGAAGCTGGAAATTCTCCAGCACAAGTTGTAAGCCCCTTCAAGAAGAATAAGAAGAAGATAGTGCCAGGTATTAAATTAAATTCGGAGCCATTGTTCAATGAAACTTTCAGTATTGACAAGAATATGAAATCAAGTTGCAAAATACTTTCCGCTTACTCAGCTAAGTTTAAATGACCTAAAATCCCGTATTGATCGTTAAACCGCCACAT